AAAAACCTAATGACACCCTTTTCATATTCAAGCACGCCGCGGCTAAAGCACTTTCTGCTAGAACAAGTATTCCCAAACTCTAATACCTAGGACAAGTATTCCTAAACTCTAGTTCATCATATTTGATAGTAAACGTTGTCACCTTTCACTGGAGCCCCTGACTTGGGCCCAATTAGGGCCTCTGTGTTAAAGCAGCTTTCAAAAGCCTACTTGAAGTTTGGTCCGAATCAATTAAAAATGCAAACAAGCTCGGGCTTTATCCTTGGGCTATGAAAATTAGATTAAAGTCCAACATTCGTACCATTTGAAGGGAATTGTAAATAATAGAACTTGTTTACCTTTCGTGGATATAATTAGTAAGTCGTCCTAGAATGTTGGTTTTTTTTTTGTGATGCAAATAAATAAAACTTTGGTTATTCTGTCTTATACCAGGTGCGTTAGCGTTAGATTAATTAAAAGGATACATACTATAATAAAAGAAAAATGATTACGTTCAATTATTCATATCCCTTTATTTTATTTATTTGGTAGATCTCAAATAATAGAATAGAGAAGAGATAAATAATGGTAGTTGTTTTTTTTTTCTATTATTATTTTTACTGAAAATGCCCTTACACAACACAACAGAAAAGCTATCATTAGCATCATACATACACCAAATGCTAGATGAAATTAGTAATAATTTTTATCTCACCCCATCTTATTGTTCTTCTTTTTGGGTCTCGAGAAATGAAACTCAACATCAAAAAAGGTGTCTTTCTTTGAGGTTTCCGGAAGATAAAGAAATCCTAAATCTGCATTGATGATAAGCTGACAGCACGTAGTCTTCCTCGGCAAGTGTATGCCCAAAGTTTTTTGCGGTGTTGGCATTAGATCATGAAATTAGATAAGCATTGACTTGTATTATCCCACTATTTTTGGAGACCTTTTCGGCTTTTTGCTGAGCTGTTGCGTTTATCCTGGACAAAGAATAATCGTAACATACACATTCGAGTCTCTATGATTGTAACGAGTCATTTGGAATCAAAGGAATAAACATTCCCTTCCTTTTATTTCGCAGTTTGATTGATCAGTGAATGTCATCGGAGTTCCAATTAGATCACTTTTTCCGGCTTATCTAAATCTGCCCTCACGAAATAGAGTGCAGAGGATTTGTGTTTTCTTCTTCGTCTTGGCTTTTTTTTCTTTTGTCCCAAGTCCTGAAATTTTCCCATTGGCAGGCCAGTAATTGCATTAAGTTTGGCCTAATTCCGTAGATCCTATCCATAAATTCCATTATGCACAAGCTAACCTTTGTGAAACGATGAGTGAAGCAACCATTTATCATCCCTTTTAGTTAGATTTGAAGTCTGCGATCGGACTATGAAACTGGTATTCAACTTGATTTCTGGTCTCGACGTCTTGAAAACTTTGCATTTGCCTAATCAAAATCTCCAGTCTAATCTGAGTGGGATCTACGCAACTCAGCTTTAACTAACAGATTGAGACTGGTAGTATTTATTATTCAATCCTAAGTTTTCTGACAATGAAACCATAAAACTAAAGAAACAGAGCACTGAAACCATGAATGATATAAGAAAATCCAAACTTTATAAACTCAGGCTATTAAAAAGCCGCCTGTTTTAGTTTAAATATTTTTCTATTTACAGACAGGAGTATTAGCAGTTATGAGTTTTCCCCAAAAACCAAAAGGCCCAAAACAATGAAAATCAGGGGGCAAAGATTCCAATCGTCACTCTGAAATCCACACAACTGAAAAATCCAGTCCCCAACTTCGTGATTTGTCCAAAGTGTCACCAACATTGATCAGTTTCCCAGCTTCCCCTCGTGTAACCAGAAAATTCAGAAGACATGGGCCTGGCCATAGATGCGGCGGACGCTGACACGGCAAAGGATCGTCTCCGTCTGAACAACAACGCCCGATCATAATCGGCGCGTTTCTCGGGATCAGACAGCGTGGCGTAAGCTTCATGTACTTTGATGAACTCGTGTGCGGTGGCGTTCTTTTGACCGCTGGATGAGACGTCAGGATGCAGGACTCTCGCCAGTCTCCTGTAAGCAGCCTTGATTTCCTGACAAGTGGCACCCATCTGGATCCCCAAGACTTCGTACAGTGACGCTGGAGAAGCAATGTGGGAAACCGTTCTCTCAGCCGTCGACGCACAAGCGGCGGAAACACGGAGTGGCCGGAACTGGACACATGTCGGTACGGAACTGGGTTCCTTGATGGAAACTTTGTGGCCCATGAAATGAGCAGAGAAGGAGCCGAAACAAGCGAATGCAGAAGATGTGGAAGCCATTGTTCTGATGTGTGAAAGACCGTTGATTCCTTCTTGTTGTGTTTGCTTTGCGTTTGGGAAGTAGCCAGATGGTTAATGTTATTTATAGAGAGTTGGTTAACCAGGGTTAGCTCGATTGGGTTAACGAATTGCTTCCAATGGCTTATCCATTTGGAAATTTGGATCCTCTCTCACATGCTGACTCAGCCAACCGTCGGCGTTTCAGAATCTCTTACCCCACGACCACAAACTGTCAAGCTGGCGACAAGTCACTGACTTTTTTGGGAGTTCGCGAATTAAGAAGGTACATTTCAGGAAGATGCACCTCAAATCCTGTGAAATAAGAGTAATTTTTTAGTGTATCTTTTGGCTGTTACTCCATGGTTCTTGATTCTTTCAGGCAGATCTGAATTCGGATGAAGCTGACTAGGATTCTTTTCAGCAGATTTTGACCTCCGGATCCTTTTTTTCAGTGTCATTTTGCAATGGGTTATTGTTATTTGATTTTCTTATATAAGCATGTATGAAAAAGATCTTGGAAATGATAAGATACCCTCAAATTCCAGTACATTTCCTTTAATCATTAACAATAATATTAGCTTAAATGTCATATTTGAACAAATGATCTTGCTTCCAATTTGTTTGAAAGGGATATTGCCAATACTTAAAATTACAATACCAACGACGACGTTGCCTCAGCTTAAGACAAATTTTTTTTCTTCTAGAAACAAGATAGTTTACAAATGAAAATTCAGATTTGAAGAGTCTCTCCCTTCTATAGAATTATTCACTTAAAATAGTATAACAAAAGTTCAAATTGGCATCATCTACTTGTAGTCTGGAAAAGAAAATTGATGTTGATGTAAGGGCGAAGAAATTGAGTAAACCAAAACTTCTACTATAATGAATGGAAATTAAATCTTCTGGAAAGGTTAATGCATGAAGCGGACATGAAGTCAGATTTATTTTCCGTCTCCCCTAATTTCCCTATACATGTGAACGCGTTAAGGATACTTCAATTATTAAGCAAAGAGACAAAAAAAGTACTAGAAATACAGAAACATTTAGTGCTAGTTGCCAACTGCCATGCTGGCCCTGTTTGACATGAAATATCTGGGAGACACGAAGTCGTATGGCAGCTGTGGGCTATGGGGAAAGGTTAAAAACATGTGAACTATCACCTTCCACTAGCAGCAAACCGTGGCTAAAAATCAATCCAAGCATATTTATTTGTCACGTCTTGTGCTGGATTCATCAGCCCACAATATCTTAGAAAAGTGCAAAACAGAAAAACCAATGAGTTCGAAAACCAACAATTAGGCTTGTTTTGGCACGTTGGATATTTGAATTTGGATGGATAAGGTAGAAGCAGTTGCTACTTTTTAGCCTATCTAAATCTATCTACTTGTGTTATTTACAACTGAGTCGGGCACGATGTCCGTCTAAGGTGCGAGGTCCGTTCCAGTTCTTTTCATTGATTTGAGACAAGACCACGGTTTTCCAATTTCAGGTCCTGTCCTCATCGCCGCAGTTTTGGGCCCTTAAGCTTGCCACCCAAATTTATTTTTCATTTATTAACCAATCTCTTCTACACAAATATAGTGTTTATATTTAATATTGTCGACGTATAACATTTATAAAGATTAAAAATTAAAAATTTATTAATGAAATAATATTTTTTGATCGATTGATAATAAACACGAAATATAAATTTATGATTTTATACTAATAAAAGTGCTACTATTTACATAATTAACATTATTATCTCCTTGAATTACTTGGAAAAAGTCCTGGTCGTTTTTCGTCGAAATGACGTGATTTGTAAAATCCTGATCGAGACCCATAAGCAAAGGGCGGTTCGTCATTCGCCACGTGATGAGCATGTGGCGGTTGAGTATCCCACCTTCAACGAACAGACACGTGTCGAGCTATTTGGAAGTGGACGGTTGCTGCCGCCCGCAGAGACAAATCCAACGGTAAAATCAACGTATTCAAATTAAACAATGTTCGGCGTCGGTGATGGGTTCGGATAAATGGGATAGCATTAAAATGATTAAAGCGAGGAGGAGGCAAGCCAACAGTCGGGTGCTAAGCACAATGCCGGTCCACGTGAGGATGGCAGGATTCTCAATCTCAGATTCTATGTTTTGAGTTCTTTTATCCTTTGTGGGGCGTTGGATTTCGGCTCTGCATCTGCATTTTGAGGTTGACAAAAGTGTTTGGTCGGCCAGAAAACGAGGAAAAATATTGATCCTTTAGACAGAAAGTTTGTAGCAAAATTCTCCGATTACTATCATCCAACAAATTGGGGAGGCTAGTAAGTTTCAATTGTCTTAAGTGAGTTTCTTTTCCAGGGAATAGGTGACAATTTTGTACAAGACACCACTTAAGTTTACACGAATTTAAATTTAAATTAATTATATATTAATTAATTATATATTAATTGTATCGATATGAAACTCTTTTAAATTCGTTTAAATCATTTAATATATTATTAATTAATTATATTATTGTGTGTCTGTAAAACTTATGACATGTTTATTATTTAATTATTTAATCATTTTCACATGTCGTATAGATATATTTAATATACGATTATGACTCATATGTTAGTTCATATAAATAGTAATATTTTTATGATAATTAAGATTTATCAATATTAAATTTTATCATATTTGCTAAATATTATTATGTTTATAATTTCTTATTCTAAATTTGAATAATAAAATTATATTTTATTTATACATATTCTAATTTTATTGTATTAATCATGTAAATAGTTTATAAATTGTATAAATTTTAATCATATTAATTTTATCATTTCATATAAAATTTAATATGTCATGTTTAATAAATGTATTTTTTTGAAAAATACGTTTAATAAATATATTAATTATGTCATATAGTGTTACATGTTTATTAAATATATATGTATATGTGTTTAAGATTCAGACAAAAATTAATTAATTATGTCATGTCCATTTTTTCTTATATAACTATTAATTAATATTTTTATGATAATTAAGATTTATCAATATTAAATTTTATCATATTTGCTAAATATTATTATGTTTATAATTGCTTATTCTAAATTTGAATAATAAAACTATATTTTATTTATACATATTCTAATTTTATTGTATCAATCATGTAAATAGTTTATAAATTGTATAAATTTTAATCATATTAATTTTATCATTTCATATAAAATTTAATATGTCATGTTTAATAAATGTTTTTTTTAAATACACTTAATAAATGTATTAATTATGTCATATAGTGTTACATGTTTATTAAATATATATGTGTATGTGTTTAAGATTCAGACAGAAATTAATTAATTATGTCATGTCCGTTTTTTCTCATATAACTATTAATACTCTATATTTACACAATATGATTAAACACATGAAAGTATAAATTTGTAGATTTGCTAAGAAATGAGAACTTCTAATTCCACTAAATTAATCCCTCGGAGCTCATGATTAATTTATGTATGTATGCCATCAAAGAGAAAAGGAATTGCATGGGTATTGCAATAATGAATCTTATGGAGTCTTTTGAAAATACAAAGTCTTTTCTACCCAAATGAGAATGAGTTTTAATAATCTGTTTACATAAAATCAAAGAAAAGGTGCATAATTAGCATGGCATATTGAGTTGGTACTATGATACTTACTAGGAGTGTAACTGTGTAAGCAATTTTCTGTTATAATCAAATAAATTCGGTTAATTTGAATGTGATCACAGTTAAATTGATTAATTCGATTAATTTTCATTTTGAATTTTTTGGTTAATCAAATTACCAATTAGGTAGATATAATTTAGTGTATTTTCATTCATATTTGTTGAAACATTTTAATATTTTTAATCATGTTTGTTAGAATATTTTAATATTATTTACTTTAGGGTGTTGTTAAACTTTCATAATTTAACTGTATTTATTTTGTAATTAGTATAGAAATAATATAAATTAAAAAATGGACTTGAGTCCAAAAAATGTAGTTAATTCAATTAGTAATCGAATTAAACAATCTAATTTGATTAACCAATTAAATAATTAATATTCAATTGTCATTTAATTGGATTAATTTTTTAAATAATATTTAACTAATGCAATTATAAAAGTTTTTCAATCCTAATTATATAGGAAGCAAGTGTGCTTTAAACACAATTTTCCTATCACGCTAATTAGGCCTAACAAATTTTGGGTCGCAAGTTTTTTACTCAGAAAGGTTGGGGCCTGAATTGGTCAGCCGGTCAGGGCAATAGCTTGAGTTGGGTCAGCCTGTCAGGGCAGACTGGACCTTACAGTTATCTGGGTTTGTAGTCAAAGCCTAACCTAGATAAACTTGGACTGGATTACTTTATCCTTCTACCTCGGAGGGCCCATTTAAAGCCCACACTACAGTTAACTAACTCTTCTTGAACATATTTAATCTAAATATTTGGAGTTTGGTTAATAATAATAATAATAATAAAAAAAAAGAAATAAATGCCTTTTGTTCCTCAAAATTTGATTACTTAAATGGTAGTCATTCCAACATTTTTTTGCCCCTATATCATTCCTGAACTTCTTGATCCACTAACCTATTCTCTTTTATAAATTTATAAATTATGATTAAAAAAAAATTTCTCCGATTTTGAGTTAATTACGTGTTATTAAGTTATTAAGTTAAGTTAGATGATCATTATTCACGATTTTAAGTTCTAAGGCCTAACAACTATTAATGTGTTATCACTAAAATTTACAATTAAAAACAAAAAAAAATTGAAAAATTAAGAAAGAAGAGGATAGAGATCAGAGAGTAATCTTAATTTGGAGCTGAAAAGATTTATATATAGGAATTTAAATTTCAAAAAGAAGATGCCTAATTCATCGTTTTCTGATTTCCGCCATTCCTTATGTTACCCTCTTTCCCGCGTTTTGTTTTTTCTTTTAAATGGCTTTAAATTACCAGTTCATGAGGGAATCCTTTCCTACCAAAAACATATGAAAAACCCACCAAATTTTTCTTCTTCTTCTTCTTCAATCTAGCTAAGGTTCCTGTGTTTGAGTTCTAAATCTAAGCAATGAGGCACACCAGGTTCTTAACATCGTCCAAGCTTTGTCTATGCCTTTCTTTGTTAGTGGCGTTAGTTGATGGGGGCAGTTCAGAACTTTTCTATGATTGGACTGTTTCTTACTCTCAACGTGCCCCTCTTGGCGTTGATAAACAGGTCTTTTCCATTGTTTCTTATTCTTTTTCTTGAATTTAGTTTGGACTTCTCATATTTGTTTGATTCTTATTACGAAATGCTTCTCGTGACATCAGGTGATAGTGATCAATGACATGTTCCCAGGGCCAGTCTTGGATGCAACAACGAATGATGTTGTGAATATTAATATTCATAACGAATTAACAGATCCCTTTCTCATGACATGGTTGATTTTAAAATATGGGAAAATCAAGAGCAAAATCTTTCAGTAATTATAACAAAGTAGACTATTGTTTTTGCTTAGAAACATTGATGTTGAATGTTATGTTTTTAATTTAATGTAGGAATGGAATTCAAATGAGGAGGAATTCATGGCAAGATGGAGTGCAAGAGACGAATTGCCCTATCCTGCCAGGCCAAAACTGGACATACAGCTTTCAGCTTAAGGATCAGATTGGAAGTTTCTTTTATTTTCCTTCGCTTCTCCTGCAGAAAGCTGCTGGTGGGTACGGGGCCATTCATGTGAATAATCGCGCTGTTATTCCCATTCCATTCCCAAAACCATATAAAGAATACGATGTACTGATTGGTGATTGGTACAATGCCAACTATGGGGTAGGCTAAATGGACAGATCCTTTTTTTTTTAAATTGGAAAATAATTTTTTTCATTACTGTTTGTGTTTTCGAGGGAAAATCGTTGAATTCCTGAAGTTCTTATAGGTCTTGAGAGCATCAGTGGAAGATGGGAACTCATTGCCCCTGCCTGAGGGGATTCTAATCAATGGGCAAGGGCCGAATCAAGCAAGTTTTGAGTTTGAGCCAGGTGAAATTACCTTACTGTTTAGCTTAGGAACATTGTTTTTGATCATATACTTAGTGATCAAGAAATTCTGGTTGGACTTTTGGTTGATTATACAAGAAAACAAGTACATTTTAATTTCTGACAGAACTGGAATGTTTGGAATGTAACTGTATTTGATATTAGATCATCAATTGAGGATTTGAGGAAATTTTCCTGCTATCCCATAAACAAGTTCCAAAGTCACAGCACTTTTGGTTGACTTTGCTGTTTTTGATCTTACAGGTGCCATGTACAGGCTTAGAATTTCAAACGTAGGCTTGAAGACATCTTTGAATTTCAGAATTCAGGAGCATTTGATGCTGTTGGTGGAAACTGAAGGTTCTTACACAGTTCAGCAATTATATGATAGCCTGGATATCCATGTTGGACAATCTTACTCGGTCTTAGTCGCAGCAAAGAACCAGACCAACGCCAAGTCTTACTACATGGTTGCAAGTTCTCGCTTTACTACTTCCGAACAATTTGGCATTGGTCTCATTCGTTATCCAGACTCTGTGGGAGACCCTGGTGTCCCTCTTCCCAGTGGACCAAGCCAATCTGATTACGAGTTCTCCATACAGCAGGCTCGTTCGATAAGGTACACCCTAGGAAGAAATTGAACATTGTTCAAATGCTTGGGGTGCAAAACCCGCCAAATCATTGTTTCTGAAATTTTCCTTTCAATAGGTGGAATTTAGCAGTAGGAGCAGCCAGGCCAAATCCACAAGGTTCCTTCCACTATGGCAGCATAAATATCTCTCGCACACTTATTCTTGAGAATAATGTGATGCTCCTCGGAAGAAAACGAAGGTTTACAGTAAATGGAATCTCATTTCTGCACCCAGATACACCATTGAAGCTAGTGGACAACTTCAAGTTCAAAGATGTATTCTTGCCTGGTATCATTCGTGACAGACCAACTACTACTCCTCCTTCTTTGGGCACTTCGGTAATCGATGCCCAATGCCACGATTTTTACCATATTGTCTTTCAGAATCCTCTGTCAGAAGTGCAAACATGGCACATGGATGGCTACAACTTCTTTGTTGTCGGGTAAAGATTCTTTGCTCTATGTTTTGTGCTAATTGAAAGTGTTGCTAAATCACCCGTCTAATGAAACTCATACAATCCTATTTGCAGAATGGATTGGGGCACGTGGGATGAAAGCAAGAGAGCAGGATACAACATGATCGATGCTGTTTCTCGCTCAACAATTCAGGTTTTGGTGACTGATCACAAAATTTGACTTGAACCTGCCTTCACAATTTTGTACATGTCGTTAATTGAATGTTAATTACGAACAAGCAGGTTTATCCATCGTCATGGACAGCAATACTTGTCCAAGTGGACAACCCGGGGATGTGGAATCTGAGGTCACAGAATGCAGAGAATTGGCATCTTGGGCAGGAACTGTATCTAAGAGTTAAAGGTCTCGAAGAGGATGATTCATCAACCATTTCTGCAAGGGATGAAGCTCCAATGCCTGAGAATGTCATCAAATGTGGAAGAGCCGCTAAACTATGAAATTTTCTTGAAGATCTTAGTCCTGAATTGGTTGAAGAACTAGTAGCATACTTTCATCAAATTGTTTCGTTTTTTCTCTTAAAATTTGTGAGGTTTGGGCATGCTAACTTGCTTATAGATATGAAGAATAGGCCTCTTTTCTCCATGATTCCTGTTAACATTTATTTCTGTAAAATATCAGTTTGGGATTCGGAATCATTCCTAAGTAAGCTTTGCTTGTAGCTTATTATTTATGAAGGAATAAACATAAGTCCGTTCCCTTTATCAAAAGAAACAAAAGTTAATTTATTTCTCTATTTGGTTTAAAACGCTAAGCTAGTTTTTAGAAAATGCGGGGTAGCTTAATCCCACACCGCTTAGCGGGACAAGAAAGGTGCTGACGCCTCGGATAAAGTAGATGAGCGAGGACCAGAGCAGAGCATGATCCTTCAGGCAGTAAACGGGATATGATGAGTGGTCATTACTCGCAAGCGCTGTGAGATGGGTGTCCGCCCCAACGCCTGGTTACGACAACATGGGCACTCCCCTCTGTACCACCTGATCCCAATCTTGAAGGAAAACTCTCTTATCCAGTTCAAATATTTTAGTTAAACGTTTTGGGTTAGGGAAATTTTCGTCCCATTCGAAAATATTGGGTGAAACAATCAATTAGGGTTCTTAAATCCTGTATCTTCAGTAAGCTTAAATCCGTGATTTTGAGTAAGCTAGCTAATCAGACGGGTTCTTGTGAAAAATAAGCTAATCAGAGGTTAAGCTTGTAAGAAAGAAGGGTTCCTCAATGAAATGTCTAATACATGATTTTAACCAAAAATAAAAGTGGAATAGCATTAGATACATTAACAAGTACATATAGATTTGCTGTCGCTGTTTTAAACAAGAAACCCAAAGGAAACCATCAAAGTAAGTAGAGAAACCAAGACAACACTTTGAATGCAAGTGTTCTCCTTTGAAACCCCATTATCAAAAGCAGCGTTTTCCACTGAGCCCTGTTGGTTAGTAGCCCCAAAAGGCTGATAATTCGAGAATGGCTGATTCAACCCGGAGTAAGGCTGGTTTACTGAAGAATATGGCTGATTAATGCCTGACAGAGGCTGGTTAATGCTCTGTTGCGGATAGTTAGGCTCCTGTTGCTGTTGGTAACCCGGTTGAGATTGCTGCCCTTGGTTGCCATTACCAACAGGCTTAGCAAATGGAATTTTGTTAATAGGGGCATCATTGGGAGGGGAAGGGAGCAATGGAGCATTATTCCCTTCAGTTTGGGGGACGCCAGGAGGAGCTTGCTGCTGGTTTGTAGTTGTTTCAGTCGCACCTGCTGGAGGTAGAGATAGCCCCGGGCAAATTGAGAAAGAGAGCACCACAAGAAAGAAAAGGAGGCATGATTTTTGGGTCTGTAAGATCTCCATTCTTGTGATAACATGGGCTATTATGAATTTTGATGCTCTAGGATGGCATTATATAGAGAATCGAATTTGTCTTAACTTGACATTTAAAATTGAAATTGGAGCAGTTGGAACTTGGAACTATGAATGTAAACGGAGAAAAATATGGAGCTGGAAAGATCATCACATTCTAATACGAGGTGAATTCTATTTCTTAGATTAGTTTACATCTTAATATCACAGATACGGCGGTACAGACACAACTCTTTGAATAGGTAAAGATACTGCCACCTCAGATGGGAGTAGATGGAAGTTTGGTTTCAGGTATGCAAGATGGCAAAGAATTAGAACAAGAACAAGGTGCTTTTCCTGCTGGTAACAGATTAGAATATGGAAAAAGTTACTGAGTGTAGTAGGACAAACCAATTCAAAAGTAGTTAACTAGTTTCACTGTTTGATATAATAATGTCTTGGAGATTTCCTACATCAAGCTTCGAAAATAGTAGCAAATGTTCAAAAGGGATTCTGGTACTCTTTGGGTGGAAGAAGCTGTGTGCCTAAACTGCAGTTCTCCAGAGGATAAATTAACAATGGGTCACCACTAACCTCTAGCCAAGAACTCAGAGACAATTCTAACATCATTTCAAATAAAATTACCACCATATATTATTTACATTATAAAATAAATCTCACGGGATGACATATACAATAGAATGAGAAGAATGAGATATAGAGACATGAAATGAATCTTAAATATTAGACAAAATGCTAGGGGTGAAATTTTGAATGTGACTCTCAAGCTGCAAGATCTAAACCATCCATGACATCCAATCTATTTGTTTGTGGATCTTTCAAAATCTTTCCTGCCCTAAAACTCCTATCAGGAGAGTTCCCAGCACTCCTACTTAATGCCCACATTTTGATCCCTTTGCTTTTGCCTAAAGGAAATTCCTGACTTTTGCTAATTCCTGGAATCAATCTCCTCGCAGTCACCTTCTTTAACAAGTTCCTGTCTTCTTCAGAAAGTTCAACCCTGTGGGGTTTGGTTCCCCCATTGAAGGATAGAAATCGCTGCATGTTAGAGTGATAAACCAGACCTTTACAAGTAGGAGATCGAACTGGCTGAGGCCTGAAGCCGTGATCTCTTTGTTTTACTAAGCAGATCAAGTGATGAAGCCACTGCACCAATCCAAGGATGTATGCATCTGTCTTCTGTTTATCTGCATGATAAAGTGTCTGAAGGCGGGTGAGGTTACTATTCGTGGTTGCGCTTCTTCCAAATTCGTTGCTGTCAGACAAGAACAAACACCAGGAAACCTCATTGTTATTATGTTATACCAAAATTAGTAACTCTTAATCGTTTGGATAGACTTGCATATAACCATATGCACAGAAAGATAAAGAAAAAGCCACGACTAACCCAGTGTTTGCCCATTCTCCAACCCATCCAAAACCTTGATGTGCTCTGTTGCAAATTGTAGCAAAGGAAAAACAAAGAAGCAAATATAGTTAGTAATGACATAAAAGAAAAGAAAGAACATTTTTTTGGCTTAAATCAAATCTAAATTAGTTTAACTTACTTGGTCGTGTTTGTGGCAACTGGAACAAGCCACTGCAGTGTCTTTTCCATCTCATCTTTGACCTGTGAAATTGAGCGCTGCAGAAAAAGCAAGCAATTAGTGATGATGTTAATCATGCAAACTAGCATACAAGAAAAAAAAAAACTATGAATTCAAGAAATGAAATCGAAATTGTATTTGAGTATATCACAACTAAACCATACCCCTTCCTTGGTGTCAATGGACTGTAATCGGGACCTTAAAGCTTTCTTAACAGAGGGTGGCAATCCATTGTATAAAGTGTCCCTGATATTAGGTGGAAGGGAGGCTGGGCGACCTGCCTATAACATATATATTCAATTTAATTCAGTCTGTCAAAGCCAGATTGCAAGTAGAAAGAAGGTAACATGAAATTGACAGAAAAGAAAAGAGAAAAATAAGGACATAAGACTTACAATGTTATCAATCTGATGAATCACATTAGCATAGTGTAATGCAAGTCCAGCAACACCTAGCTTTTGAGGATTTTCAGTAGTTTCCTTTCGAACTGATGCTGTGTCTGCCATGAGTTGGAAAATTATATTGATAAGATGCAGTAGTAAAACATCAAGTAACACACATGATGTTCCCCTCAACAAAATTTGATATGAGTTTGAATCTATATGATTACCTCCAAAGGCTTCAAATATTGCTTGATGCATATAAGTAACAATATCAACAAGCTTCTCCATGATCTGCAATGAAACAAAATTACAATCAAGAAAGATTGCATAATTGTTGACTCTCGCAGAAGCCAAAACCAAATGATATCAATCATTTTCTCCATGAGCAAAACAGATTTCATACTATTCCATTGCTAGAGTTGGCAGTCATAAAAATCAACCATCACTAACATCGAAAAAAGAAGCATAGCATGAGATGCATGAGGAAAACAATACTCCTTTGAAATGCTAAAAGCTTCATGGACAAATGATTGAGGTGATTGAATAACAAAGGATTCCTTCGAGAACACCTCTGAGAGTATCTGTTCAGCAATTATAAAAAGCAGCTCGTAGTTATATACCTCCTCCAAAGTTCTAGACCAAAGAGATTTCTTTTTCAAACTCCTTACAAGCTTTCTTTGTTGTTTTAGCTCACTTTGTAAAATCATGAGATTTTCTCCTACAATTCAAAAGAATTAGCTGTTAATAGACTAGCTGCACTCCAGGTTAGCAGCTCTTTAGCAAATATCAGAAACACAGCAAAAAAATGGGGGAATGAACAACTTGAAGCTGTTAATGAGAGAAACTCGACCACAATAATTTTTTCCAGAGAAAGATTGCGTGAATGATGTACAATTTAGTAACAACATCTTGAAAGTGAGAAGGAAAAAGGAGCACCAGAGCAGACTAAGGCTTTAGACCCTAGAATGAACAACTAACGACAGATGCCCATAGAGATAAACCCCTATTATAAAAAATAATAATATTCATTCCTAAGTTAGCATATTTAAAGAATTTTGGATTGTTAAGTTTCATTTTGATGTAATGGTAAATCACCCAAAATTTATGACATCAGGATGGTGTAAAAATGTTGCTACCTAATTGGGAATGTATTCAATTTCTGCATACATCCATAGACACATAAAAGAAAGTTTTGGAAAGAGAAACGGATCGTCCATGACTAACCTCTTTTAGGGAGATTTAAGGACTCCACTTCTTCCAGCTTTCGCCTATAATCTTGATCAAATCTGTCTAGAGCATTTAATTCATGGTATAATTCCTACACATGTAAGATACATTAGATTCTCGAAGTAGAATATGCAGACCAAACACTTTTCAAGATCAAAACCAACATACAGATATGTATCATTCTCACGGATGGACAACTCTGATGTTATAGCTTGAACATAACACGCAGCGCAAACAAGGGTGCTTAAAAAATTTCAAAGGCGTCATACAAACTTATTAAAAAGGAGGTACCTGAGATTCCATTTAAGTGCAATGCTTTAATTCAAACAAGATAATTCAACATTGTTTTCAGGCAGAATATGCCGTGGCATCCCACACCATTCATTCAACAAAAGCGTCCAAAAAATACACAATGTATGAGCAACATAGCAGATAGAGGGGAAAAGCTCACAATTAAAGGAGGATAAACTTACAGAGGTATGCTGAGCCAGAGTAGTTAGTTCTTGCATTGTCATTTCTGCCTCAGCTCTAGCTTGCTTAGGAAATGAATTGTCGATATCTAGTCTGACAGGTTGTGACAATATATCTCTCCGTTAGTAAACATCAACAAATGAAAGCTAAAAAGTAATGCTACCAAAAAATCTACCTTACTTTGA